GAGAATGCCGCGCTCGCAATAGCGCCCCACATACTCTCTCCGTAGTCCTCCTCCGCTGCTGCCTTGGGGTTCTTCTCACCCTTTTGCTGCTCCTTGGCTGCTGCACCTCTCTCCATAGGTTCACCAAGCATGCTAGTCCCTCCAAGTTTGCACTTCTTGGGCTCCTTCTCCTTAGCGCGACCGTCCGCGCAATCGCCGCTACCAATCGCTCCACCTTTGGTGCTGACGCTTGCTGCCACTTGCTTCTCCTTAGGCATTGGGACCACAGAGATCTGCCACATCTCGTTGTAGACATCTCTGGCCTCATGAAGGTCCCAAAGAATCCGATCGCCAAGCCTTGCGGTGTAGGTCTTGGCTCCCTTCGAGTTCGTGTCCATGCCGGCCTTTGCCAACCGCCGCACGGAAATCAGGTTGGCAGCAAGGCTGGGCACCCAAAGCACATTCTTGAGGCCCACCATCTTCCCATCAGCACCCTTAAACATGGCCTTGCCCATGCCTTTCACCTCCGCTCACTGCCCCAAAGCCGATGTGACATGCTTCACCGGTGACGGTTCGAGTTCGGTGAGCAAGTCCGGGCGAGGTGTCATGCTATAGGTAGCGCCACTATCGATCGCCCAATAGTCCAGAGGGTGTAGGGTCATCTTCCCCACAGCTGCTGGCTCCTCAAAGCCTTCATCCTTCTCTGGACCAGTCGGTACTTGCGTCGACACGAAGTAGAATAGACCCGGGTACCGATCGTTGCTCGGGTCCTTGTCATTGTCTCCGCTCGTCATGTTTGCAGCTCCGCCACCGCGACCGCCACGACCTCCACGGCCTCTTCCTCTCCCTCCTCCTGCTCCTCTACCCTCCTGGCCTTGAGCAGGGGTCCAACCATCAGGGAGCTTGTAGCAATCACGCCACATATGTTCGCTCTTGTGGCAATAATGGCATTCGCCGTCGAATCGGCCGCGACCGCGCCCGTAGCTCGCTGCCCCAGCGCCATCCGCACTCGCCAACTCACAGCGGCGGAAATCCTCTTGAAGGATAGCTCGCTTCACATCTTCGAGCGAGAGGTAGGGCAAGTCGCGATTCAGGTTGATGATGAGCGAGGACCATGATTCAGGGAGTAGGGCCAGCAAATTGGTCTTCTTTTAGAGCTCACTATAGTTCAAATCAGCTCCCTCAAGCCACGTCAACAAGCCAAAGAATTTCTGCACCCCTTCTTCAACCGCTTCATCCTCTTCAATTCGTAACGTCGCCATTTGCCGTTCCAACACCACAGCTACCGCAGCTGTTGCAGGAGCGTGTACACCCTTGAGAGCAGCCCATGCCTTTGGTCCCTTCTCTGGTTCACGCTGGAAAGGCTTGATGTGACGGATTTGGCTGCTCCCCAACGCTTGCCCAAGTAGGAGGTAGCCTTGTGCGCTCTTCCGCACCCACGGGCTCTTCTCCGGGTCGTTCTCGGGACGCTTCTCCGTTCCTTCCATTACCTCCAGCAGGTCATAGTGGTCAAATATGTTCACCATTCTGAAGGACCACTGAGCAAAGTTGTCACCATTGAACTTGTCAAGGCCAAACACTCTTAGCTCATCCCTAGATGGGCCAACACTTGGTTGCACGGGCGTCGTGGTTGAATCACGAGGTTGGCCTTGAGCTTGGGCTTCTCCTCTACCACCAACACCTCTGCCACCCCTTTCCTCAGGTCCAGCCATTGTCGAAACTGCTCCAAGGGGCTCTGATACCACTTGTTATAGTCACAGTAGGCTCCAATGTGCCTAAAACGAAAGATAGAGTGCACAGCCGGATTTCTGCACAGCGGTTTCAAACGTTCATAGCGATCTGCTCACAACTCTAAATGGCTTCATTCAACTTGGATCTAGAGCGCCTTGATGTCGCCTAGAATAGGCAATTTAAATCGCACGCTTTCATTAAGAACTGGCGACATAGCGTCGGTTTGAACGAACGGAACTATGGCAGCAACATGCTCTTAGAACACAAGATAGGAAGAGTTAGGAAGAGTTACGAGTTGAGAATTACTCCCAGCTCCTACAAACCCCAAGAGCCAAGGTACAATGATGTAGAACAGTGCCACACTGTCCCCAACCACGAAGGGTCTCGAAACTACCCTTCACTAGGGCCTACACCAAGTGAAATGTTACACTACACAAAGTAATGTAACTATCTTCAATATCTTGAGGTGCACCCTTTTGGCGAGCTTCGAAATCAGTCGAGGCTTGACACAAAGGCTCGGGCTCTTCATCACAAACTCATCCTTGAGTTCTTGATGGGTCTTCTGCACACACCTGCGACACGCCAAACGTTCGACACAAGCAAAATAGAAACCGCGCACGACAAAATAAAAACCGCGCGCGAGACACAAACGACCGCGTAACACGCGTCTAGCAATAACTCGCTATTGACCCGACACACACACTCGACATCATGACTCAACATTCACACACAATTATAAGCATGAAATATATATTATCCCATGCCCTCATACCATTCCATAAACACACACATGCACACACACAGACAACAAGCCGAGTGCAAACCGTAGGGTTGCACCAACAAAGGAGCAGGTAAAGGGGAGGCGGGCTGTAACTGTAACTGCGATTGGACAGGCTGTGGACACTCTAAGGAAGGAGCAAGACCAAGAGAAGGCGGGAGACCAAGAACCTGCTCCAGGAGCGGAACAAAGTATGGCCTTGGCCGCTCAGCGCCTCCAGAACCAGTAAGGACGGCACAAGTACCCCCAGCGGTAGCACCAGCGCTAGCAGCACCTCCACCTCCACCAGCGCCAACTCAAGCACCCTCAAAAGCACTAGCGCCTGCAGCATAGCCAGCGCCAACACCTCCAGCAGCTCCAGCTCCAGCAGCACCAACTCTAGGAGGACCATCAGCTCCTGTAGCCTCAGCAGCACCCCTAGACGCACCAGCGCTAGTAGAAACACCAGCGCCAACACCCCCAGCAGCTCTAGCTCCAGCAGCACTAGTACCGCCAATAGCTCCACCAGTCTCTGCAGCACGTCTCTAGCGGCGGGCAAAGCACTCGCGCAGCTCCTGTGGAGAGAGTGGCTTCCGCCTCGACGAAGCACCGCCGGTGGCCACACGAGCAGACCCAGTGCCCCCAGGCTCGACACCCCCAAGCTCCGCACCTCCACGCTCCGCACCCCTAGGCTCCACACCCCCAGACCCAGAACCCCCAGGCTTTGCACCCCAAGACTTAGCACCCCCAGTCTCAGCACCCCCAGACTCCGCACCCCCAAGCTCAGCACCCCCAGTCTCAGCACCCCCAGTCTCAGCACCCCCAGACCCGGCACCCGCAAGCTCAGCACCTCTAGCAGCACCAGAGTCAACAGCTACCTTGACAGGCTCGACTGCGTCTACCTAGGACACACCTGACGGGGCAGGACCTTGAGGTGGGAGGGGGTCTACCGGGGGAGGACCGGGTGCAAGGAAGAGCGGCGGCGAGGGGAGAGGCGCAGTGCGGTAGGGGAAGAGACGGTAGTAAGGCACCGACTCGTCAAAGGTGACGTCCTAGGAGGACAAAATACGGCGCGAGGTGGGGTGGTAAAACTGCCACCCAGGGGCGTCAAGGGGGAAGCCAAGGAAGACGCAAGGAACAGCACGGGAGGACAGCTTGTCCGCAGACAAGTCGTGGACAAACGCCCGAGATCCCCAGACCCGAAACGCAGACGCATCGCCAACCTTCCCGGTCCACCGCCTAAGGAACACCTTGCTGCGCAAGGGGAAGACTGTGGTGTAATGCGAGTAGTCGTCAACCACCAGCAGGAAGTACCGCTCACGCCCGTGCCCTCTGACACGGGCTGGGCCCCACACGTCCATGTGGAGAGTCTGCAGCGGAGCCTCTATTGGAGGAAACCCGGAGGAGTGAGGGGCGGTGCGCTGTCGCCCCTCGACGCAGGGGACGCAGGTAGGGCCAGGCCCCAGAGGTAGGGGAGGGAGAGACCGAGGGAGACCAGAGACAAGGACACGGGAGGCCATGCCTCGAAGACGAGGCAGGGAGGGGTGACCAAGGCGGTGGTGCCAAAGGAGAGTCTGGTGGGACAGCAGACGACACGAGCAGGGAGCACACTCAGGACCAGACCTTGACGCTGCAACAAACATTTGACTCAACGCAGCTACCTAGGCAGACTCAGCAGCCGGAGGAGACTCAGTAATAAGGGTGTAGAGGCTCGACCCTGGCCGATGGGTGAACGTGGCCAAGTGTCGGCCTGTCCGAGCACACGTGTAGTGGGTCGCTCGCTGACTCGCAGGAGTGAACTGGTCAACCCCCCTATCCTGTAGGTCCACTCCACTCACCAAGTTTGTAGAGAACAAGGGGATGTAGAGTCTTGACAAGGTGCCAGTGGGGGCTGCCGGGCACGGTAAGACAGTGGAGAAGCTAGCAAGGACAGGACCCCCAGAGGGGTCTGCCAGGGAGAGTGCAACCGGCCGACTGAGCGGTGTAAGAGTGGTGCGGTCTCGAAAGAAGGAGCGGTACGCACCCGAGTCAAGGGTGAAGGTGTGGAAGGCCTGAGCCGACGTAGTACCTGAGAGAGCAGACTCACTAGCACCAGGGGCAGCAGATGCACTTGCACCTGGGGCAGCAGGCGCAGTGGCACCTAGGGTAGCAGACGCACTAGCACCTAGAGCAACAGCCTCACCACCACCTAGAGTAGTGGCCTCAATGCCCGGGTCAGGCGGTACACACAGGTAACAGTTACCCTCAACACTAGTAGTCACAGAATACATGGCAGCAAGGATAGCATCATAGTCAAGATCAAAGACGGCAACCCCCGCCCTAGACAGATCTCCCCAGCGAGGGATCCGTGACGCCTCAGGGAACTGGCGACGCCACACGTCCGTCAGGCGACCGAAGCAACGCTGAGTCGAGTGCGGGCCTCCGCACTACTCACCAGCTCGGTCGCCGGTACGGAGGACTTAAGTGCAGGGACCAAAACCCCCACCGCGCTGACGCGCAGTGTACCACTCACAAAGCCGCTGAGGGGACATGGTCACACCACTCCGCTGCTGCTGGCGCGGACCTCCACCTGAGCCACTCCTCTGCGCAGAGTCGCGACCCGCTCCACCACCGCTGCTGCCGCCGTCGCCTCCGGCGCCTCCTCCACCTCCGCCTCCTCCGCCACCTCGGCCTCCTTCGCTCCCTCCGCCACCACCGCTGCCTCCGCCGCCTCCATTGCTGCCGCTGCCACCGCCACCCCCGGCACCACTCCCACCACCACCCCCACTCCCTCCATTGCCTCCACCACCACCTCCACCGCCCCCTCCAGCCCCCTTGCCCTTGCCGGTGCGGCGTCTCCCGTTCGGGGCAGACGCAGCGCCGACCGACTCGAAACCAATGTAGTCGGCCACAGCAATAGAGGCAATAGAGGGCAAGAGGGGGGAGGGAGAACACCCCTAAAAGACGGGGGTGCGAGGGTCACCACGAGAGGCTCCTACAGTGACTATGCTTTTCTCTGCTGCTAGGAGGGCCTTCTCAAGGAGGTCAACAGTGAGAGTGGTGGGGCAAACTGAGAGGAAGTGGTCCCTGACTACGCAGAGAGAGTCAGGGAGCCGGGTGACTATGTAGTAGAGGGTGATGTACATGGGGGGGGGGTTCTTGGCGCAGAACTCAGCAGGAAGCGCAGCGCGGTAGCGAGTGTCACTAGTGCGGAGGTGCGTAATGAGGTAAGCGACTGTGGGAAAGGTAGCAAGGTCAGGGAAGAGGTACGGTAGCATGAGGCAGCTCAGTGCAGCAGTGGCAGGGGAAGAGTAGCGTGCAACTACAGCGTCGTACAAGGTCTGAGCACTCTTGTATTGGCTAAAGTGTGCACTTTCAGTGGTCGGTAAGTGGCGGCGCACAGCAAGGCGAGCAGCAGCATCACGCGCGGCCCACTGTGAGCGAATAGTGGCGTCAGCATCAGCAGCAAGGGCAGGAGAGGCACCAGAAGTCAGGTCAAACAGGGAGAGACCGTCTGCCCTATCGCACTGTAGGAAAAGCTGCAGATCATCTACCCAAACCTCAAAGTCAACTACCCAACCCTCAACGTCAAAGGTGAGAACACTAAGGGAGGCCATGACAGCAGTAGACAGGTAGTGAGTACAGTGGGGCAGGGCAGTGCCGTGACAGAGGCACTACTCTTACCAGGCAAGTGGGGCGGTGTCGGGCAGGCCGACAGGCGGCAGCGCCTCAGTTGCGGTGCGGCTCGGCGGCTCAGCTGCTGGGCGGCTCGGCGGTCGGGCGGCTCGGCGGTCGGGCGTCTCGACTGCAGGGCGGCTCGGCGGTCGGGCGGCTCGGCTGCAGGGCGGCTCGGTTGCTCGGCGGCTCGGCTGGTCGGCGGCTCGGCTGCTCGGTGGCTCGGCTGCTCGGTAGATGGGCGGCTCGGTTGCTGGGTTGTTCGGCGGCTCGGGCGCTGGGCGGCTGAGCGGCGACGGGGCCGTGAAAGAGCGGCGACGGGGCCGCCGAAAGGGTGGCGACGGGCCGCTGAAAGGGCGGCGACGGGCCGCTGAAAGGGCGGCGACTAGGCCGCGGAAGGGCGGCAAGGGGCCGCTGAAAGGGCGGCGAGGGGCCGCTGAAAGGGCGGCGACGGGCGCTGAAAAGGCGGCGACTGGTCCGCGGAAGGGCGGCGACGGGGCCGCTGAAAGGGCGGGCGGCGACGGGGCCGCTGAAAGGGCGGCGACGGGGCCGCTGAAAAGGCGGCGACGGGGCCGCGGAAGGGCGGCGACGGGGCCGCTGGAGGGCGGCGACGGGACGCAGAAGGGCCGCGCCGGGGGGGCGCGCAAGGGCGGCTACGAGGCCGCGGAAGGGCGGCGTCGGGGCCGCGGAAGGGCGGCGACGGGGGCGCTGCAGGGCGGGCAGCGAGGCCGTGGAAGGGCGGTGACGGGGCCGCGGAAGGGCGGCGACGGGGCCGCTGAAAGGGCGGCGGCGGGGCCGCGGAAAGGGTGGCGACGGGGCCGCTGAAAGGGCGGCGATGGGGCCGCGGAAAGGGGCTGCGAGGGCGGTGTGAAGAGGGCCGCGAGGGCGGCTTGAAGGCGCCGTGAGGATGGCCCGACGGGGCCACTAGGGGCCGTGAGGGAAGTCACACGGGGCGCGACTCGGGCAGGGGCCAAGCGCGCTCCGGGCAGGAAAAAAAAAGGTCGGTGGGCCCTAGGAACAGTTCCCATGGGGGAACATGCTCTATACCATGTGAAAATTAGAACGAGAATGAATGAACTATGAAACAGTTGGGTACAAGTACTAACCCTGTGAGAGTACAGGTACGACGCGAAGCGACAGCCGACCAAATGCGAATTTTGCGGCGCAGCAGGGCATCAGATTTTGTCGTGCTACAAGTTGAAGAAAGTACGTGCGATCATGCAGGACGGTAATAGTGGAGCACCCCCGAAGTCAAAAAGGGAATCGCCAGTAGCCGCGGATCCAACTGGCGATCGCGTAAAGATCCGAAAAGCGAAAAGGGCGGCGACGTGGCGACTTCGGAGCAGGCGAAAAAAGGAGAAAATGATGGCGCGAATATAAAACGTCACGATCGGCCGGCAACAGGGGAAATCGCCGAGACAAATGGAGGCTCCGCGAAACAAGACTCTGCACCGACCGGGAAACTCCAGCCGAACACCCCCGAGAGTAAGAATATTCCCTCTCAAGGTTTTCAAGCCTTTAAAAAATTCAGGGGAGATTTCAAGGCCAAGAAAAAGCCTTCAGACATTATTCAGGTACCTGAAAAGTTGGGCAAACCACTCCGGAGCGTTGAAAAGGGTCGTGCGTTCCAAGGAGTTCATATTCTCTCCCCGCAGCAAAGTGTTAAGGCTCCCCATTGCCCACAGGAGAAGCCTACACAACTGCAAAGGCTTAAGGGAAGGTTCCAGGCCATGACGAAGCTGAATCGGCCTCTGATAAATCCTTCTAACCCTACTCAGTTGGAAACTAACATGAAGTCAGCAGCTTCGAGCGCAGGACCGAGGAATGATCTATTCGACATACCCTACGATCCTATAAGCGAGACCATCTACGGTTACTCGGAGCAGCAACAACCACTACTACTCGAGGTGATCTGCAACGAGCGATGCCTCCAGGCACTGGTGGACAGCGGTGCATCTCACTCGGTGTGCAACCGCGGGACGTTGGAGAAAATTGGAGAACCTTCGGAGGAGACCAAGTTCATGGCAACAATGGTGGACGGTACGAAACTTCCCATCCACGGCGAAGCATCACAACAACTGCACATAGGGGCGCTGAGGTGGAGGCCGACGTTGCCGATCACGAACATCAAGGGCTTAGATTTCATCTTGGGGCGAGATTTCTTGAAGCGGTTCAACCCCGAGATCGACTGGGTCAACAGGAAGGCGTGCATCTACAACAACGGGAAACGAGTGGAGCTGCGAAGCTGGACGGATACAGGGAGCATTCCTGAAACGACACTGGCACGGTTCGAACAGACGGTGAACGAGAGTAACGCAGGGTACCTAGCACTGGTCATGGCAGCAGCAGAGGAGGAGATGCCGAACACGGAGCTACCTGCAGCAGTGAAGGAGGTCTTGGAGCAGTACAACGATATAATGCCCGACGACCTACCCGCAGGCGTACCTCCAGCGCGCACCCACGAGCACGAGATCGTGGAGGAACCAGGTGCGAAACCCGTCTCACGTGCACCATACCGACTGAGTCCGACCGAACTGACAGATATGAAGAAACAGATCGAGTATCTACTGGACAGACAACTGATCCGACCCTCCACCTCTCCCTACGGCGCACCAGTTCTCTTCACACCAAAACCAGACGGCAGTCTACGGATGTGCATCGACTACCGCGCACTGAACAAACAGACGGTAAAAAACAAATACCCCATACCGCGCATCGACGACTTACTGGACCAACTGCGTGGTGCAACAGTCTTTTCGAAGTTGGACCTACGGTCGGGTTACTGCAGATCAAGATGGCGGACAACTCGATCCACAAGACGGCGTTCCGTACCAGATACGGCTCCTACGAATACTTGGTGATGCCGTTCGGACTCTGCAATGCACCAGCAACGTTTCAGGCGGAGATGAATCACATCTTACGGCCCCTGCTGGACAAGTGCGTGGTGGTGTACCTGGACGACATTCTCATCTACTCCAAGAACATGAAGGAGCACGTGGAGCATCTGCGGAAGGTGTTCGAGATCCTGCAGAAGAACAAGTTCTACGTGAAGCTGTCAAAGAGCGACTTCGCCCTGAAGAAGGTGCAGTTTCTCAGGCACATGGTGAGTGCCGAGGGCGTACATGTGGACCCACGGAAGATCGAAGCTGTAAAAAAGTGGAAAGTACCGGAGAATGTGAAGGAGTTGCAGCAGTTCCTAGGCTTCGTCAACTACTACAACAGGTTCGTGCCACAGTACGCTAAGATTGCAGCGCCACTGACCGGCCTACTCAAAAAGGATACAACCTTCAAATGGGATACTCCTCATCAGCAAGCCATGGAGCAGCTACAGACCGCACTGACCACAGCCCCGGTACTCATCCTACCGGACCCTGTGAAGGACTACGTAGTTGAAGCTGACGCTAGTGACCAAGCAGTTGGAGCAGTACTGATGCAGGATCACGGACGCGGTTTACAGCCTATCGCCTACCTCAGTAAGAAGCTACACGGAGCAGAACTGAACTACCCCATTGACGACAAGGAAGCCTTAGCCATAGTCGTAGCCTTCAAAGCGTGGAGGTGTTACCTAGAGGGAGCCAAGACTACAGTCTATACTGACCACTGCAGTCTCAAATACCTGAAGTCGCAGCCAACACTTTCACGACGAAAGGTGCGGTGGGTGGACTTCTTGGAGACCCACTTCCACTACGACATCATCTACAAACCCGGGCTACACAACAAAGCAGACGCGTTGAGCCGCCCAGGACATGTAGCAGGCATCCAACTCGACGGGATGAACCCTCTGCTAAAGGGTCTATTCCAACATGGGTACTCCGTGGACGGCGAGATAGCAACGGCAGAGAAACAGAAGCTGTTACAGTGGGAGAAAGACTTAGCTCTAAGGAAGGGTTCAGGAAAGATTTGGGTACCGAATTACGCCTCGCTACGACAGATCCTATTGGAGGAGTTTCACGACGTACCTTACGCGGGACATTTCGGGAGCAACAAGACGTTAGAAGGGATAGCGAAGTATTACTACTGGCCCGGGATGGCAGCAGACGTGCAGCAGTTCGTCACCTCTTGCGACACGTGCCAGCGGATAAAGAGTAGCAAGCAGAAAAAAGCAGGGTTACTTCAGCCTCTACCTGTACCGGAGCAGCCATGGCAGGTCGTTAGCCTCGACTTCATCACAGGACTTCCTTCGACCTCACGGGGGCACGATTCCATCCTCGTAGTCATCGATAAGTTCTCCAAAATGGGTCACTTCATCCCGACCAACGTCACCGCTACTGCTGAAGCAACTGCTCGCCTCTTCTTCGACCGCATCATCACCATCCACGGCATCCCCGCTACACTCATCTCAGACAGAGACCCCAAATTCACGAGTAAGTTCTGGAAGGAGCTCATGGGATTATTGGGGACTAAACTAGCAATGTCCTCAGCATACCACCCACAGACTGACGGACAGACAGAGCGACTCAATCAGGTGGTTGAACAGTTACTGCGCACAGCTTGCAAGGACGACATCAGCCACTGGGACACACAGTTACCGACTCTAGAGTTCGCTTACAACAACGCATCACATGCGGCCACAGGAAAAACTCCTTTCTTCCTGTGTTACGGACGGTAACCACTCACACCACAGTAGCCAACAACACCGGCACACGTCCAAGCCGCACATGACTTCGTCACCACCATGCAGCAGCTATGGGAGAAGACTCAGCGACGACTCACCACGATGCAGACCTCCCAGAAGCAGTATGCCGATCGTCAGCGACGTGATCACTCAGTAGCAGTCGGAGATCAGGTGCTTCTTGACACGCGCAACTTGAACTTGTCTCACCTCCCATCCAAACTCCGGCCTCGCTTATGTGGTCCTTTTCTCGTTGAGGCACAGGTGACACCAGTTACATTCCGCTTGCGCTTACCAGACACATGGAAGCTTCACAACGCTTTCCATGTC